CCCTGGTGGTGAAAATGAAACTAGCCCCGGTGGCAAATAGGCTGCGGTACCACTCACTGAAATACCACTGGGGAGTAGAGGGATCCCTTCAAGCTGTGCTCGGAGAAGGGTACCTCACTCTCACCTCAGCTGAGGATCCAGAACCCTTCTTCCAGAAACTAGGCCTACCAGCTGTTCCACAAGTGGAAACGTCATCCTCGACTGGGAAGACAACTACCTCCATATCAGATGGGACCCCAGCAACATCATCCACTTTCTCTGGACGCACTGCCCGAAGATGGTAACCATGGTTCAGAGGCACAGCACCTGACACCCTGCCTACCTATGCAAACACACATCTCCACATATAGTCTCACAAGCAAAGCCAGCTACAGTAGCTTGATGGACTGAACCTGTCTGCTCCTTATACTGTTTTGCTTTGTTTCCTGATTATTAAGAGTGGTTTTTTGACTGTATTACTCTGTAGCATGTACAACATCTGCTAATGGAGAAAAAAAACAAAGAAAATCTCCGGAAAGATTACACCCGGTGTAACATACAAACAAGATCAGACAATCCACGTATATATGACATAATATGCTTGATAGGCAACACATTAAAGGGACACTTCAGGCACCCAGATCACTTCTGCCCATTGGAGTGGTCTGGGTGCCAACTCACACTACCCTTAACCCTGCAAGTGTAATTATTGCAGTTTTTTATAAACTGCAATAATTACCTTGCAGGGTTAACTCCACCTCTAGTGGCTGTCTACAATACACATTGCCGCACATGCGCATTAGCTCTCCCTGACCAGCGAACGGGATCGGTCTCGCCCACCGGCCGACGTAATGCAGAGGAGGAGCGGCGGCGGAGGAAGAAGCAGCGACATGGGACATGACGCTGCCTCTGGTAAGTCATGAAGGGTTTTTCACCCCTTCAGCAACTGGGGATTGGGAGGTGGGAGGGAGAGGGGACCTGCAGCGCCAGGAAAACGTATTGTATGTTGAGATTAATACCACTGTCTTTTTTTCCCCTGCTGTTTCCCTCTTTTTTCCCACTGTCACCTTCCCAACATAATACCTCCCCCCACTGTCACTTTCCCCACACACTACCTCCCTCCAACTGTTACATTCCCCCCACACTACCTCCCCCCACTGTCACCTTCCCCACACCCTACTACCCCCCACTGTCACCATCCCCACACACTACCACCATCCCCACACTGTCATCGCCTCCCACAATGTCACAATCCAAAACACTGTCACCACCTGCCACACTGTCACCATCCAAAACATTGTCACCATCCAAAACACTGTCACTATTCCCCCAAACTGTCATCAACTCCCACACGGTCACCTTTTCCCCGCACCATCACCCCCCTAAATTATCATTCCCACACTTTCACCACCTCCAATACTGTCACTATACCCACACTGTCGTCACCTCCAATACTGTCGCCACCTTGCAAATTGTCACCATCCCCCCACACTGTCACCATCCCCACACAGTCACCATCCTACACACAGCGTCACCATTCCACACACACCTCACCCTCCCACACACACTGTCACCTTCCCATACATACACTGTCTCCCTCACTGGAGGCAGAGAGATGGCACAGAGAGTCTAAGGGCAGAGACATGGCAGAGAGAGGCTGGTGGCAGAGAGATGGCACAGAGAGGCTGGGGCAGAGATATGGAACAGTGGCTGAGGGCAGAGAGATGTCACAGAGAGGCTAGTGGCAAAGACATGGAACAGTGGCTGGGGGCAGAGATATGACACAGAGGCTGGGTCAGAGAGATGGCACAGAGAGGCTGATGGAAGAGAGATGGCACAGAAAGGCTGGTGGTAGAGACATGGAACAGTGGTTGGGGCAGAGAGATGGCATAGAGAGCCTAAGGGCAGAGACATGGCACAGAGGCTGGGGCAGAGAGATGGCACAGAGAGGCAGAGGGCAGAGACATGGTACAGAGGCTGGGGCAGAGACATGGTGTGGTGGCCAACCAGAGAGGAAAAGGGGTCTTGCCGCCAAGGATGTTCTTTTCCCCAATTCAGAGTGATGCTATCATAATCCAAAGCACGATAATCCAAAACATGGTATAGCTGTTCCCTACAAACACGAGATGAGACTCTATGTTGAGGGTAAGCAGGAACTGTTTTAATGGAAGCCACAGCTGGCCTTATATAAAAGGCTCCATGCAAGGGGTTTCTGCTGACATATTCCAAGGACATTCCTCACTGGACCTGAGAGGGGACTACAGTAAATGCACATACATAATTACATTAGCTCTCAGGTCCAGGACATACATAAAAACACCCCAAAATACATATTTAACAAGTAGGTACCCCCTCAAGTCCTACATCCCCGGATAGCCTGGATCTGAGCACCCAACATATCCAAAAAGCACTCATATCCCACAAACGCAGCTTAAACGCCACCGCGGTAAAGTTTAGACTGACAGCACACAAGGCTCCTGCTCAGAATAGTTCCATAGAATTAGGCTGTGCGTCCATTCTCCTTCGGGGTACGAAACACACAAAATATGCAAATGAAACTGTTCGTACATGCTCTCAATCTGTGTCTCTTGTTCGGGAGCTTGTTCCCACCGAACGCCATCGAGTGTCCAATTATAGTTCCATGCACTTGATGACCAAACACCGCTGTCTGTGTTCGCTAATAAAGATGGCTGCCACCACGTGTTGGTACATACAAACGGCGACCACTCAGCCGACCGCTTAAAATGTTGTGGTAATTGCGGTTACCGAGGTGAGAACAAGGGTCAAACGGGTCAATGTGCAACATACGACTTTTCTGGGTGGTCTGGCCGTTCGGTAGTTTATTCGGTATTCGAACTCCATAGGTCCCAGGTGTTCGGTGGATCCCATACACCAAACCAACCAGTGTAACAAATAAGTAAAAATAAAGGGGATGACAATCCAGGTATAGGGGAATCTGTCACACATGGCACAGAGAGGCTTAGGGCAGAGAGATGGCACGGAGAGGCTGGTGGAGAGACATGGAACAAAGTGGCTGGTGGCAGACACATGGAACAGTGGCTGGGGGCAAAGAGATGGCACAGAGAGGCTGAGGACAGAGAGATGGCACAGAGAGGCTGGGGCAGAGAGATGGCACAGAGAGGCTGGTGGCAGAGACATGTAACTGTGGCTGGGGGCACAGAGATGGCACAGAGAGCCTTAGGGCAGAGACATGGCACAGCGTCTGGGGGGAGAGAGATGGCACAAAGAGGCTAAGTGCAGAGAAGTGGCACAGAGAGGCTGGGGGCAGACACATGGAACAGTGGCTGGGGTAGAGAGATGGCACAGAGAGCCTTGGGGCAGAGAGATGGCACAGAGGCTGGGGCAGAGAGATGGCACAAAGAAACTAAGGGCAGAGACATGGCACGGAGAGGCTGGGGGCAGAGAGATGGCACTGAGAGGCTAGAGCAGAGAGATGGCACAGAGGCTAAGGGCAGAGAGATGGTACAGGGAGGTTGGTGGTAGAGAGATGGCATAGAGAGGTTGCTTTGGGACACATGGCACTAGTAAACTCTTTGGAGGTACATGTGGCTCATTGGCATGATATACAAAGTTTAAGAATTGACTGCTCATTGGTATTCAGGATTTATGCATTTACTGCTCAATGGCATGAAATACTTAGTTTATATACGTATAGCTTCATTGGCATGATATGCCAAGTTTATTAATTTAATGTTAATTAGCATGATATACCAAGTTTATGCATTTAATGTTAATTGACATGAAATACCAAGTTTATGCATTTACCGCTCATTAGCATGATATACAAGATTTATGCATTTACTGCATTAATAGCATTCCCTTACCCCCAGGGTGTTAGCATTCCCTTACCCCCAGGGTGTTCCCCCCCCCCCAGGCATCGATGTGCTTGTCTGTGTGTGCGTGAATGACTGTGGGGGTTGGAGTCTTGGTCCCAGGCAGCACAAGACTATGCAGAGAGTGTTGCTAGTACTAGTGCCGCCGCTGTCTAATGATCTTTGTGCTGTGCTGCCCGAGGATATGACAGGAAACTAAATGAGAATGATAAAACAGAACCGTAAAGTATGGTTGTCCTGACAAAACTGGGACAGTTGGGACCCCAAATTTGCAAGGCAGTAGGGTGATGTTTGGCTCTGTCCACTGTGTGCCATTTGCCATTTTCCTTTCCAGTCATCATACCGCTCCCTGATTTTATGTGATTTCATCAGCCACCACTTTTGTGGCACTTGGGTGGACCCATCCTTCTCTTTTGTGGATTCTAACTTTTGCAAGTGATTCCAACAAGTTTCTGGGCAAAAACTATACATTTTTCCGAGGAACTAAAGCCTCACTGGCACACGATATTGTGACATGCCAGAACACATTTTACAGGAAGCTATTCCTATTTTCATTCTTTCATTTCCTGTTGTGTTTTACAAGTTTTACATACTGTAACAACAAATTAAAAAATACGTTCCCCAGCACTAGACAATCATTAATTTTATATAGAGAGCATGTTAATGATAATTATGATGATGATGTTTTTTTTATATTTTTTATGATTTTTACAATATGTTCTCATTTAAAAATTGTCTATATCCTCAATCTAAATAAGGGTGTCAAGTCTACAACTGCTACGTTTTTCTCTCTTTATCTTTGTAGGGTTATCCCTGGCAATGGAAGTATTTTACAGGAGTTTCATTGAGTTCTACTAAGCATTATTCCAACCTATCTAACCGGTTCTGTAAGATGTGGGTACATGGTGTGCGTGGGATCTGACCTGCAGTACTCAAACACATGGGCAACAGACCAACTTGTGTCTCAGTAAATAAAGGTTAACCAATGACTTCTATCTAGTGTGGCAATGCATAATCATGCCACACCCCTATTTATCAAGTGACTCATGTAAATGGTGGCTTTGGGACTAAATTGCTTTGAGTGTGATCCCTTTGCACCTAGATTTTTTTTTTTCATTGAGATGAAATGGGCTTGGTGCCTATAGTGTCCTTTTAAAGGGGTTCTGCCACTTTTCATAATGATATAACCTTTATGAAATACAGATTAAGACTTCTTTGGAATTTCATTGAAATTCCTACGCAATCCAAAGATACTATAAGACAAATTATGGAGTACTTTGTTGAATGGTAAAGCCTGATGGCTTTAGGATGATGGCTTTAGGATTCAGACTTTGTGTATGGAGGGTCCCATGGTCATGAGCACAGTTGTGGCTTCTGGAAACTGAAACTTTTGGGAATCTTTGCAAAGGCCTCTGAAATTGACAGATCCGTTTTAAGAACAAGGGTTAGGTAAATGTCTTGTCACCATAGGCCTCCAAACAATTCCAATCTAGGTGTGCAGGCCCTCGTCCTGTACCATAATTCTGAGTTTGTTCCTCGATTTGTCACGTCTGTCAATGTGTCACACAGAGATAGCTTCAGCAGTGCTTGGGCATTTGTTTTCGTCAAAAATTCGGCTATTCATCTGAAAAGACAAATGTAACTCTAAAAAGTAAAATAATAAACCAAATTTTGTCTGAAAATTAATGAACAAACGGATGAAATTTAGTTTGGGCAAAACAAAAAAACATTCTCAGCAGAGTCCACTTTGGCTAATACAAATGACACAATTAGTGTCACTGGCACCCCCCTTCAGGCCACCCATCATATCCTAATCACATACCTTCCAAATGTAGGTATGCCATTGTCACATTTTGATTTTGATGCATTGAAAGTGGTACTCTCAGAGTAACATACTAATAAGAGACCCCAACAGGGAGGTTTATTTATCAGAAAATTGACCTTAATGGAATGAGCTAGGCACTATATCACTCCCAAGAATCTGTCCCCTGTGATTAAAGGTCAATAAATAACTTCCCAAAATAGATGACAGGGGAATAGAAACACGTGGGAGAAATTATACATTACAGAACTGTATTTGTTGCCAGAAAGAAAAAATGAATCTGTAAGAAAGCGAACAGCAGAGACAGAGATATCTGCTTAGTGGAGGGTGTGGAGTACTGTACAGTTGGTTGTTACCTTATCTAATTTTCATAAGATTTACATGCTTCTGATTAAACTTTCACAAGATCATATCACATGAGGAGTGCGCCAGCCCTTCAATGCACTGCCAGATCTGGGCACAGCTGGTACGTTCACACCGTTGCTAGGCACTAATAGTGGCACGATAAATGGAACACTGAGCTTCATATGGGGAAAGCAAAATGTTTATGGTTTTATAATATTTTCCCTCTTAATAATAGTTGTGAGCATGGGGTTACCCTGTTTCAGGTTTGGGTGTGACCACATCACACACAGTGTTTGCCAGATCACTGGTGTACAGTGTTATCACAGGGTGTGGCCCCAGTGCATGCTGGGAGGGCTCTCTCTCTCTTTCTGTGTACAGACATGTTCCGGCTGTGGAAGACCTGGCAGCTTGTGGTTGGTGACACTCACCCACTCTGACTCCAACCATCCTGGCCCTCTGTCTCTCCACTAGCCACAAGCCATCCTATTATTTTTTCTTCATCGTTGTGAACGTAGCAATAAGGAAACGTGCACACGACATGGGGTATGCAGTGTGAGCAGGTGGCTGAGACTTGCTGTCTTCCTAGTGCTGGGGGGGATAGCTTTGCATTATATCCCTTCCCTGCCCTAACCTGCACCGATTGTGCTGTAGGGGGGCAATGGAGAAGTTATTTTAAGGCTGTACATTCCTAAGAGAAAATGGTCTATAAAACGCACAAAATGTGAGACAGCATACACGTCTGTTCTTTCCCGCTGTCTGCAGTAAGTTAGTAAACACCAATGCCACTCGCATAAAGCTCTCTGCTGTATCGACACGCAAGGAACTGTGAGGTTTGTTACACTGAAGGTAAAATATTCTAGCACAGGCTTCCCTAGAACAGGATTGTCACAGAAAAGGCTGTTAAATATTGACTGCAGAGAACAAAGTCCAAAGGGAGAGAGAGGAGGAGGAAAGGGGCCTCACCCTGAGCAGTGACCCTCAAAGGTGGCCAGTTACTTATTGCCTAAGGATCAATCACAGACTTTGGGACAGTAAAGCCCAGGTAAAAAAAAGGTCCTTTTGCCACAAAGTTGCTAATAACTTTCATTAGTCGCGAAGATTGTGCCCTGTAGTAAAAAGTAAAAGTTTAACTGTAACCGATACCAACTCACTCCATTAAATGGCAGTAGTTTATATGTCTTATGAATATTTCCAAGATGTGTGATACGCAGAGAAAGGAAGGAGTTAATTATCTGCTGTATCATAGTATAAATATAGCTGTGTTTGGCGGGAGGCCTGGGGCCTGGGCGAGTCTTTCATTTCCAGTGAAATAGCAAAAGAGAACATTCAGAAGAAGCAACTTATTATCACACATAGCACAATAATTAAAGGGGAACCATTACTCCTCTTAAAATGACATAACTGAATAAACCATTGAATTGACATCACAATACAGTTTAATTCAGTTCAATCTTGGCATAGTTAAGGCACACATAGAATGGGGAAGACAACCTGAACATTGTTTCTATTGCTTATCTGCTCTTTGTGCTATGTCTATGACGTTGACTTGACAGATACAAAAGCATAGCTTATAACATTGATTGACAGGAAAGCAAAATGGAGGTGCCCAGTTCCAGGATAAAGACAAATACGATAGTTTAAATGTCTATATTTAATCATATTTAGCAATCCTTATAAATCCATACATTTGTTTAAAGGAACACTATCGGCACCCAGACCACTTCAGCTCATTGAAGTAGTCTGGGTGCAATGTCCCTGTATGTCAGGAATAGAGTTACCCTAACACGCAAACCTAAAGGTAACAGTAAAGGTACACGTACCGGTCCTTGGAGTGGCCGGGTTAGTGACTGAGACAGATATATGAAATGTCTTCAAGCAGACCGAGAATAAACGAGAGACAAGCAGAGGTCAGGAGTAAAGAAATACACAGAATCGATGGCCAGGCAAGATCAGCATAACAGAGAGGACCATTATGTCACAAGCCTGTAAACATTATCAAAAAGCGACACATGGGCTAACACTATAAAAGGAAACTAATGGGAGGGATTCATATTAAATATGATGTCATAATAAGGCACCAGGAAGTTAGGGATAAATGTGTGTGCATCAGAAAATACATAATTTCGAGGGGCGTGGTCTGGACGCCGAGGTGCATGGTCGCATGAGCGCTGAGCTCCAGCCCTGACCGGGGGACTTAGGGGTAAAACGGCAATACACCAACGCAAATGGCGACAAAAAAGCAGCGCAGTACGATGGGGAACCCCCCCGCGACCGACCAGCCGTCAGCCAAATCATCCCTGAGGAGATTGTTCGGCGAACAAACAGACCCACACAAACGGGACAAAATGGCGCCCGCGGCACATGTGCGTGGCAGCCGGCCATCCAGCCCGACGGCCTCAGACGGATCTAATGAGGATCAAGATATCAGGGCATTACTACACCAACTACCATCCAGGTCAGATATTGCAGCTATGTTCCAGAAACTGGAGGATAGCTTTGGGGAAAAATTACAGGCGGTCAGTGCAGAGGTACAGCACCTTGGAGCTAGGGTACAGGCCATGGAGGAGGAAATAGAAAATACTGACAAGCAATGGGCTGAATCATACACCACACAGGAGATGCATGCTGCAGCAATAAGGCACCTACAGAGGCAACTGGAAGATGTAGACAACAGGGGGCGTCAAAATAATTTGAGAGTGAGAGGCATACCAGAAGCCGCTGAAGGAAGTACTGAAAATCCCATTCAAATCCTCACCACGCTATTCAATCATATTTTGACCAGACCCCCTGATACAGCCATTGCCTTTGACAGGGCACACAGAGCTGCTAGGCCCAGGAACTTAGCTCCGGATAAACCAAGAGACCTTATCTGCCGGATCCACAATTTACCCCTTAAAGAAGAAATATTTCATAAAGCCCGCCAAAATAAAAATCTATCAGTGAGTGGTCACACGGTGACGGTCTTTCAAGATATCTCACCTTCTACACTATTGGCGCGACGAGCCTTGAAACCCGTCACACAAGCCCTGATGGAGAAGAAAATCAGATTTCGCTGGGGCTTCCCGTTCGCATTGATTGTGAATCTTCCGGAGGGGTCTCATGTCATCACCACACCAGCGGAGGTCCCAGGATTCCAGAAAGCACTGAACCTACCGATATCTGCCGTAGAGGACTGGACAGGACTTAACGGGATCACGACCAAGCAAATCCCACAAAAATCTAAATGGCAAAAGACGCCACGGAAGAGACGAAGACAAACCCAGCCTCACGCGGACAACACTGCACCATCCAGGGAAGAGCCTGACTGAGAAGCTCTACGGTCGTATGCCAAAATTATATAACTGTCTATATTGCCATATAATTGCAATAAGCTCACAAACTCTGATGTACTAGCCTATAACTCACCATGCTGCCAACTTTAGTTATACTTTTATTATGATTTCTATACGCTATTTAATACTGTTATATTGTTTTACTGAAATTGCCATAACCAGGCCCAAAGCCTTAACTGTCATATGTTTGAACGTTTTGAATGACTATAGACGCTAAGGGCCCGGTCCACAGGGACTTACTTAACAACCTCACTAACCCTTGACCCACGAGTCCTTAGGACTAGAGGGACACGGAGACTATCAGTGTAGACCAGACAGTCCAGTGGAACCCCTGAGACCACCCCGGTCAGTCACCCGGACCACCACCCCAAGAGAGGCGCCCCGCAAACACTTGTGGACACGATGGCGTTACCCACAAGTGCAGCGCCAATCTCGTCGCACGATAGGTATCTGCCCTATCGTACCGCTTTATATAGTTTATATTTACCCCTGGTACACCTTCCCCAAACCTATCCTGCCTATTTAGCCCACTTGACTCCCGTGCTAAACAACAAATGCTCTGACCCACCAGATAAGAGACTAGCCCATAAAACACTAAAATGACCCGGACTAAAATAATGTCCCTGAATGTGCGGGGACTGAATTCTCCTATGAAGCGCACTATGCTGGCGCAAGAGATAGATAGACAGGGAGCCGATATCATCTTACTGCAAGAGACACACCTTAGAGGTGACTTCCAACCGAAAATACGCACTAAAGGCGCCCACACAGCATACTACAGTAATAACACTCACAAGAAAACCAGAGGGGTAGCAATACTTATAGCGTCTGGTGCCGCCTTTGTGAAGTCAGATATTAAAACTGACCCCAAGGGCAGATATGTGTTTATCAAAGGAGTCTACAACGGTACACTAGTGACCATAGCGAATATCTATGCTCCTAATGCTGATCAAACCCCCTATATCCGCTCCTACTTGACCAAACTGGAGGGATTTGCCGAGGGAATGGTGATAGTGGGAGGGGACTGGAATATAGTACTTGATCATTCAATTGACAGCTCCTCTAAGGCTACGGATACTAGACGCCACCAAAGACTCTTGCTCTCCAAGCTGCTCCACTCACACCA